CATGATTATAATAGTAATAATGAAGAAGTGGTAAACGATTGAATGAACAACATGGATACCCAGCTGAACGACAACTTTGCGCACCGAGGTGATAAAACCGAGCAAGAAAAGTTATCTGACGCAATAATAATTAGCAGTTCACTCTTTACCAGTGAAATAAACCAAACCAACTGCAAAGATACTACAATTCAGATCATAAAAGATAAACTAAATGTTTCTGTACAAGTGACAGAAATAAAGGAAATGTGATTACTAGGGCACCAGAGTAGAAAACAAAGTGTTATGTTTAGATTTTATACATATAACAGGAAAAAAGATCTAATCAGTTCACCAATTAAAGCTAAAATAAGATGTATACATAAATGAATTTGAGAAGAAAATGTCAGAACCTCTAGTACCAGGTAGAAAACAAATCAGTTAGAATATTAGAAATAATATCACATACTCACAGGGATAAAAAGATTCTAGTGAAACCAAAGGTAGCTGAAAGACTAAAATCACAGAGTAACATAAATGAATTCCTGAGCCAAGACAAATGACATTGCAAGCCCTTGTCTATGCCTGGTACACAGCATACACAACTTAGGCCCATCAAGTCGGAGGTGGCACGCATCTATACACTGTGAACCGAATATATCAATCACCTGCACACAGGGTGAAAATGTGAATATACAGTTGAGAAAAACAAATCAAGACCCTAAAAAAAGTCTAACATTGAGGTATATCACAGAGTACCACACTTAGAACTATCTTACACATTTAAGATAAAATACATTGATAACTGACTCTTGAGATGAATAAACCACTGTACACAGTACCTTCACATCAACTGTCAGAGAGAATAAACACCCCTGATACTACGAGGTGACATTCAACATCTAGACTCAGAGATGAATAATCAAACACGCACCTGATACTACAGGTGACTTCACATTACTGACATCAAATAATAAACACCACCTGATACTTACAGGTGACTTCAACATTACTGACTCGAGATGAATAAACACACCTGATACTTACTACTTACAATATTTACAACATGTCTCAGAGATGAATAAACACCACCTGATACTTACAGGTGACTTTAACATTACTGACTCAGAGATGAATAAACACCACCTGATACTTACAGGTGACTTCAACATTACTGACTCAGAGATGAATAAACACCAGAGATAAAACACCTCAATTACTGGGAGCACTTGAGGTTCCTAAACCTGTATTCCCTGGAACGCAGGAGGGAGAGATACATGATTATATACACCTGGAAAATCCTAGAGGGACTAGTACCGAACTTGCACACGAAAATCACTCACTACGAAAGCAAAAGACTTGGCAGACGATGCAACATTAACACAATGAAAAGCAGGGGTGTCACTAGCACGTTAAGAGACCATACAATAAGTGTCAGGGGCCCGAGACTGTTCAACTGCCTCCCAGCATACATAAGGGGGATTACCAACAGACCCCTGGCAGTCTTCAAGCTGGCACTGGACAAGCACCTAAAGTCGGTACCTGAGCAGCCGGGCTGTGGCTCATACGTTGGATTGCGTGCAGCCAGCAGTAACAGCCTGGTTGATCAGGCTCTGATCCACCAGGAGGCCTGGTCACAGACTGGACCATGGGGGCGTTGACCCCTGGAACTCTCTCCAGGTAGACTCCTGGTAAACACCACCTAATACTTACAGGTGACTTCAACATTACTGACTCAGAGATGAATAAACACCACCTGATACTTACAGGTGACTTCAACATTACTGACTCAGAGATGAATAAACACCACCTGATACTTACAGGTGACTTAACATATGACTCAGAGATAATAAACACCACACTGATACTACGTGATTCACATAACCTCATCCATGAACATGACCCAAAAGTAACTGAATTCACTAACACTATGAGCAACTGCTTACTCCTACCATCTATAACCAAACCAACATGAATCACCGAGACAAGTGTCTCACTACTTGACCATATCTGGGCCAACACTATATCCCTACTAAGAGCAAGCATTATCACAGATAACTCCACACACCACTATCCCACCATTCTCACAACAAACTTATGTAAACTCCCACGGGACACAAGCAACATCTCTTTCCGACTACATGACGAAAACATCGGTAAAATATTTTATTTCGGCACACCTAGCCTCAAGGTCCTTGGACCAGAGTAATCAAGGTCCTTGGACCAGAGTAATCAAGGTCTTTGGACCAGAGTAACCAAGGTCTTTGGACCAGAGTAACCAAGGTCCTTGGACCAGAGTAATCAAGGTCTTTGAACCAGAGTAACCAAGGTCCTTGGACCAGAGTAATCAAGGTCTTTGGACCAGAGTAACCAAGGGCTTTGGACCAGAGTAACCAAGGTTCCTTGGACCAGAGTAACAGGTCCTTGGACAGTAATCAAGGTCTTTGAACCAGAGTAACCAAGGTCCTTGGACCAGAGTAATCAAGGTCTTTGGACCAGAGTAACCAAGGGCTTTGGACCAGAGTAATCAAGGTCCTTGAACCAAAGTGATTTCTAATAAATGTCTTGGTGTTTGTTTACATGTAATTCTTAAACACAATGTACTTTAGTATATACCTCTAATTCAACCTACTATATATAAGCCTCGTAACACACACACTAGCAGTAGCAAAATTAAAAATAAACATAAGCAATGCCCGGGTTACACTGATTTATGAACACTATTGAACGTCCTGGCTACCTTGATTTATGAACACTATTGAACATCCTGGCTACCTTGATTTATGAACACTATTGAACGTCCTGGCTACCTTGATTTATGAACACTATTGAACGTCCTGGCTACCTTGATTATGAACACAAATTGAATGCCCTGGCTACCTTGATTTAATGAACACTATTGAACGTCCTGGCTACCTTGATTTATGAACACTATTGAACATCCTGGCTACCTTGATTTATGAACACTTTGAAGGTCCTGGCTACCTTGATTATGAAACTATTGAATGTCCTGGCTACCTTGATTTATGAACACTATTGAATGCCCTGGCTACCTTGATTTATGAACACTATTGAATGCCCTGGCTACCTTGATTTATGAACACTATTGAATGCCCTGGCTACCTTGATTTATGAACACTATTGAACGTCCTGGCTACCTTGATTTATGAACACTATTGAATGCCCTGGCTACCTTGATTTATGAACACTACTGAACGTCCTGGCTACCTTGATTTATGAACACTATTGAACGCCCTGGCTACCTTGATTTATGAACACTATTGAACATCCTGGCTACCTTGATTTATGAACACTATTGAATGCCCTGGCTACCTTGATTTATGAACACTATTGAACGTCCTGGCTACCTTGATTTATGAACACTATTGAACGTCCTGGCTACCTTGATTTATGAACACTATTGAACGTCCTGGCTACCTTGATTTATGAACACTATTGAACGTCCTGGCTACCTTGATTTATGAACACTATTGAACGTCCTGGCTACCTTGATTTATGAACACTATTGAACGTCCTGGCTACCTTGATTTATGAACACTATTGAACGTCCTGGCTACCTTGATTTATGAACACTATTGAACATCCTGGCTACCTTGATTTATGAACACTATTGAATGCCCTGGCTACCTTGATTTATGAACACTACTGAACGTCCTGGCTACCCTGATTTATGAACACTATTGAATGCCCTGGCTACCTTGATTTATGAACACTACTGAACGTCCTGGCTACCTTGATTTATGAACACTATTGAACACCTGGCTACCTTGATTTATGAACACTATTGAATGCCCTGGCTACCTTGATTTATGAACACTACTGAACGTCCTGGCTACCTTGATTTATGAACACTACTGAACGTCCTGGCTACCTTGATTTATGAACACTATTGAATGCCCTGGCTACCTTGATTTATGAACACTACTGAACGTTCTGGCTACCTTGATTTATGAACACTACTGAACGCCTGGCTACCTTGATTTATGAACACTACTGAAGCGTCCTGGCTACCTTGATTTATGAACACTATTGAATGCCCTGGCTACCTTGATTTATGAACACTACTGAACGTCCTGGCTACCTTGATTTATGAACACTACTGAACGTCCTGGCTACCTTGATTTATGAACACTATTGAATGCCCTGGCTACCTTGATTTATGAACACTATTGAATGTCCTGGCTACCTTGATTTATGAACACTACTGAACGTCCTGGCTACCTTGATTTATGAACACTATTGAATGCCCTGGCTACCTTGATTTATGAACACTATTGAATGTCCTGGCTATCTTGTTTTATGAACACTATTGAATGCCCTGGCTACCTTGATTTATGAACACTATTGAACGTCCTGGCTACGTTGATTTATGAACACTATTGAACGCCCTGGCTACCTTGATTTATAAACACTATTGAACGCCCTGGCTACGTTGATTTATGAACACTATTGAACGTCCTGGCTACTTTGATTTATAAACACTATTGAACGCCCTGGCTACCTTGATTTATGAACACTATTGAACGCCCTGGCTACCTTGATTTATGAACACTACTGAATGCCCTGGTTACACTGATTTATGAACACTATTGAACACCCTGGTTACACTGATTTATGAACACTATTGAATGCCCTGGTTACACAGATTTATGAACACTACTGAACACCCTGGTTACACTGACTTCTGAACACTATTGAACATCACACAACACTCTCCCCATGTCTCTCTCAGACTTCCCAAAAATGTATAAAATTCTGACCAATATATATATATATATAAACTTATGATCTGTCATAAACCTCTAATAAATAAGAAACAAAAAGTTAAGCTAAGAAATTGCATATTTTTACATTTTCTTGATATTTACTTAAGAAGGTCAAGTTCTGAGGTTAAGTCAGATGAGGATCAGCTGAAAATCAATTTCTTGAAAACTTTCAAGCTTTTCTAAGCTGACGATTCACCACTGAAGCTTATTATACCTAATGAGTTGCTTCCTCGGCCCCCTTTTCCTCGACCCCCCTCTTCCATTACACAACAGTGCCTGGTCGAGGGGTACTCGGGTGTCATATAGCTTTGACGTCCTCACAATCGGAACTGTCGCCCTGAAAATATTGAAGCCGCTATAGGTCAGGTGAAGCATAACTTTCCAAGTTAAAAAAATCTACATCAGAATTTGATTTACAAAAATAATGTACAGCAAATACATTGTCTCCCTGGGGAGGTGGAAGAAAATTCTTCCTCCGTGAGCCATGCATGCCGTAACAGGCGACTAAAAATGCCAGGAGCAAGGGGCTAGTAACCCCTTCTCCTGTATATATTATTAAATGCCAGGAGCAAGGGGCTAGTAACCCCTTCTCCTGTATATATTATTAAATGCCAGGAGCAAGGGGCTAGTAACCCCTTCTCCTGTATACATTACTAAATTTAAAAAGAAAAACTCGTTTTTCTTTAAAAGTCACCTGTCTTGGTGGGATATGGCCGATGTGTTGAAAAAATCACAAACATTGTGTAACATTACAAGACCTGAATTTTGGCTCTCAGATGAATCATGCACAAATTATTAAACAAATGAATTTTAAACTAAATTACAAAGGTAGAGTAGTACGAAAACTTTTTTTTTCAAATTTTAGAAATAACATGAAGGTAAAAATGTTTAGCCATGAGTACGGTACATCTTGGTGATAGTAATAGTGTGAGTGATCCAGTGATAGTGTGAGTGATCCAGTGATAGTGTGAGTGATCCAGTGATAGTGTGAGTGATCCAGTGATAGTGTGAGTGATCCAGTGATAGTGTGAGTGATCCAGTGATAGTGTGAGTGATCCAGTGATAGTGTGAGTGATCCAGTGATAGTGTGAGTGATCCAGTGATTATGTGAGTGATCCAGTGATAGTGTGAGTGATCCAGTGATAGTGTGAGTGATCCAGTGATAGTGTGAGTGATCCAGTGATAGTGTGAGTGATCCAGTGATAGTGTGAGTGATCCAGTGATAGTGTGAGTGATCCAGTGATAGTGTGAGTGATCCAGTGATAGTGTGAGTGATCCAGTGATAGTGTGAGTGATCCAGTGATTATGTGAGTGATCCAGTGATAGTGTGAGTGATCCAGTGATAGTGTGAGTGATCCAGTGATAGTGTGAGTGATCCAGTGATAGTGTGAGTGATCCAGTGATAGTGTGAGTGATCCAGTGATTATGTGAGTGATCCAGTGATAGTGTGAGTGATCCAGTGATAGTGTGAGTGATCCAGTGATAGTATGAGTGATCCAGTGATAGTGTGAGTGATCCAGTGATAGTGTGAGTGATCCAGTGATAGTGTGAGTGATCCAGTGATAGTGTGAGTGATCCAGTGATAGTGTGAGTGATCCAGTGATAGTGTGAGTGATCCAGTGATAGTGTGAGTGATCCAGTGATAGTGTGAGTGATCCAGTGATAGTGTGAGTGATCCAGTGATAGTGTGAGTGATCCAGTGATTATGTGAGTGATCCAGTGATAGTGTGAGTGATCCAGTGATTATGTGAGTGATCCAGTGATAGTGTGAGTGATCCAGTGATTATGTGAGTGATCCAGTGATAGTGTGAGTGATCCAGTGATTATGTGAGTGATCCAGTGATAGTGTGAGTGATCCAGTGATTATGTGAGTGATCCAGTGATAGTGTGAGTGCTGGAGCAACGTGGCACCTACTGCACATGTATGGTATATGCTGCAAGCTGAAGGCTGGTAGACACAAACCACCCTGGGAGGTACTACCATCCTGTGGTAGTAGGTTGGTAGACAACAACCACCCAGGGAGGTACTACCATCCTGTGGTAGTAGGTTGGTAGACAACAACCACCCAGGGAGGTATTACCATCCTGTGGTAGTAGGTTGGTAGACAACAACCACCCAGGGAGGTACTACCATCCTGTGGTAGTAGGTTGGTAGACAACAACCACCCAGGGAGGTACTACCATCCTGTGGTAGTAGGTTGGTAGACAACAACCACCCAGGGAGGTACTACCATCCTGTGGTAGTAGGTTGGTAGACAACAACCACCCAGGGAGGTACTACCATCCTGTGGTAGTAGGTTGGTAGACAACAACCACCCAGGAGGTACTACCATCCTGTGGTAGTAGGTTGGTAGACAACAACCACCCAGGGAGGTACTACCACCTGTGGTAGTAGGTTGGTAGACAACAACCACCCAGGGAGGTACTACCGTCCTGTGGTAGTAGGTTGGTAGACAGCAACCACCCAGGAAGGTACTACCATCCTGTGGTAATAGGTTGGTAGACAACAACCACCCAGGGAGGTACTACCATCCTGTGGTAGTAGGTTGGTAGACAACAACCACCCAGGGAGGTACTACCATCCTGTGGTAGTAGGTTGGTAGACAACAACCACCCAGGGAGGTACTACCATCCTGTGGTAGTAGGTTGGTAGACAACAACCACCCAGGGAGGTACTACCATCCTGTGGTAGTAGGTTGGTAGACAACAACCACCCAGGGAGGTATTACCATCCTGTGGTAGTAGGTTGGTAGACAACAACCACCCTGGGAGGTACTACCATCCTGTGGTAGTAGGTTGGTAGACAACAACCACCCAGGGAGGTACTACCATCCTGTGGTAGTAGGTTGGTAGACAACAACCACCCAGGGAAGTACTACCATCCTGTGGTAGTAGGTTGGTAGACAACAACCACCCTGGGAGGTACTACCATCCTGTGGTAGTAGGTTGGTAGACAACAACTACCCAGGGAGGTACTACCATCCAGTGGTAGTAGGTTGGTAGACAGCAACCACCCAGGGAGGTACTACCATCCAGTGGTAGTAGGTTGGTAGACAGCAACCACCCAGGGAGGTACTACCATCCTGTGGTAGTAGGTTGGTAGCCAACAACCACCCAGGGAGGTACTACCATCCTGTGGTAGTAGGTTGGTAGACAACAACCACCCAGGGAGGTACTACCATCCTGTGGTAGTAGGTTGGTAGACAACAACCACCCAGGGAGGTACTACCATCCTGTGGTAGTAGGTTGGTAGACAACAACCACCCAGGGAGGTACTACCATCCTGTGGTAGTAGGTTGGTAGACAACAACCACCCAGGGAGGTACTACCATCCTGTGGTAGTAGGTTGGTAGACAACAACCACCCAGGGAGGTACTACCATCCTGTGGTAGTAGGTTGGTAGACAACAACCACTCAGGGAGGTACTACCATCCTGTGGTAGTAGGTTGGTAGACAACAACCACCCAGGGAGGTACTACCATCCTGTGGTAGTAGGTTGGTAGACAACAACCACCCAGGGAGGTACTACCATCCTGTGGTAGTAGGTTGGTAGACAACAACCACCCAGGGAGGTACTACCGTCCTGCCAAGTGAGTGTACAATGAAAGCCTGTAATTGTTTTACATGATGGTAGGATTGCTGGTGTCCATTTTTCTGTCTCATAAACATGCAAGATTTCAGGTATGTCTTGCTACTTCTACTTACACTTAGGTCACACTACACATACATGTACAAGCATATATATACACACCCCTCTGGGTTTTCTGCTATTTTCTTTCTAGTTCTTGTTCTTGTTTATTTCCTCTTATCTCTATCGGGAAGTGGAACAGAATTCTTCCTCCGTAAGTCATGCGTGTCGTAAGAGGCGACTAAAATGCCAAAAAAAGACACATTCATAGATAGATAAATAGACAAATAGGTAGAGATATTTAAGAGGTAGTTTAAGCTGTAAAATACACCATGTTTCTCATATCAAAATTTTCAGAATTACTCCAAAATTAAAAAAATAAAAATTACCATTAACCCTTCAACTGTGCCAAGATTTTTAAAAACAAAAAAACTAAATTTTCTTATAGTTAGATAAGAATTTGCCTTTATGAATCAAATACTAATTCTAAAATGAGCAAAACTCTGATTAAAACTTACGGGTTTATGGTGTGCCGAACTTGGTGAAAAAATGATCACTGATCGGCAAGAGTAGCGAGTAATAATATATTAAACACAGTTACAGGGTTTAAAGGGTTAATATTCATAGATAGACAGATAGATAGATAGATATATCAACTGTCAGATAGACCATGTTTCTCAGCTCAAATATTCAGAATTACTCCAAAAAAAAAAAATTCTAAATTTTAATTTTCTTTCAGAAAATTCCAAACTTTGGGGTTGTCCATAAGACAAAAGGCAACTTAACAAATACCGAACATTTGCACCGAGGAATACCAAGTCGTTCACGATTCAAATTACCTGTTGGATAATGATGTCGTGTTCGGAGTCTGAGGTGGACATGTAGCGGTGTGACGCATGGGAGCCCCCGGTGTGTGCATGAGGGGCAATGAGGCGTGTGTGTTCATCGCCACCGCTCGCACCTATAGCTGTTGCACCGCCAGGCCAGCCACCGCCACCACGAGATGTTAAACGGCGCTTCATTCCTTCACCTTAAATAGTGTTATTGACGTATTATTTTTAACAGGTAAACAAACTTAGATTTTTAAGTATAAATGAACATGATAGTGAGAACCTAAATGAACATGATAGTAGATTAGATTTTTTAGATTTTGCCACCGAAGTGGCTAGTTTATTGTGCACCCCATATCCATCCTGTGGACGGTAGCGCGAGAGCATATGGATACACAAAAGGCCTAGGAACTAGGCCCCAAAGGGTTAACAGGAATACATATGGATTTATATCTACATATCTATAGTTCACTTATCTGTTACAAGCAAATTTAGGAAATTTGCTTAGTATATCTGGTATCTTATTTTCATTAATAAGATATCTTGACATGTCACATAGGTTATTATACTGTCTGTCTCTGTATTCCTCAATAAGTGGACAATTAAGCACATAGTGTTCAAGAGAGTGACCATATCCCTGATCACATAATTTACATTTAGTTTGATCATCATCTGTGTGTCTCCCAAACTGCCAGAAGTACTTGTAACCAAGCCTAAGCCTGGCCACTACAACATCAGTCAGTACTTGTAACCAAGCCTAAGCCTGGCCACTACAACATCAGTCAGTGTTCACATTGCAAGTTGCTCCATAAACATACTTATCTACGTTCATGTTATCATAGTGGGTTATAGATCTACTCAGGCTTCTAACTGCATTCCTATAACAATCATTTTCATTATCTACTTCTCTCCTAATATTATTCCTAATGCTAGACACAGTTATGATAGTGAGAACCTAAATGAACATGATAGTGAGAACCTAAATGAACATGATAGTGAGAACCTAAATGAACATGATAGTGAGAAACTAAATGAACATGATAGTGAGAACCTAAATGAACATGATAGTGAGAACCTAAATGAACATGATAGTGAGAACCTAATGAACATGATAGTGAGAACCTAATGAACATGATAGTGAGAACCTAAGTGAACATGGTAGTGAGAACCTCAATGAACATGATAGTGAGAACCTAATGAACATGATAGTGAGAACCTAATGAACATGATAGTGAGAACCTAAGTGAACATGGTAGTGAGAACCTCAATGAACATGATAGTGAGAACCTCAATGAACATGATAGTGAGAACCTCAATGAACATGATAGTGAGAACCTCAATGAACATGATAGTGAGAACCTCAATGAACATGATAGTGAGAACCTCAATGAACATGATAGTGAGAACCCTGGAAGACCAGGAACACAACATCCTTGTACCATAACACTAGAATATAAGTAAAATAGAATGTCACTATTATCACACTGTAAAGTGTGTTATTCTAAGAGTTTAACTTATACTGCACGTCAGTCACTACTACATTCTTAAGAAACGGTTTACAAAATATATATCACAGGGAGCAGGGAGAGAGAGAACCTAGTAGCGATCAGTGAAGAGGCGGGGCCAGGAGCTGAGTCTTGACCCCTGCAACCACAAATAGGTGAGCACAGTACATATGGCATATTATCCACACAAGTTTGTATGGAAACTATACCAGAGTATACACAGAGTACAGTAAACTCTTCATTTAATGCACCTCCATTTAACAGACTTCAGAAATACAGAACAAAACGTGCTGGGTTAACACATTTGTTAACAAAGATCAAAGTTACATGGACGCACCATTCATTATTATTACCATCATTGTAAACTAATGTTTCTAGCAGGCAAGACAACATTATCATCACCATCAGAAAGCGTGAAGAAGAACACTGTAATATAATACTCACTAACAACGTAAACATGTTCTCTGATATCAGAACGAACATCAGAAATATCCCAGATGAGTAAGAACGTGTGGCAGCAATTACCAGTCTCATATTCTTCGTCAACGTAAGGCTTGTAAGAGAACGCGTAGTGATGAACAACGGCTGCTATGAACATCTCGATGCAGATTAAGAAGTTCTGCAACAATATGAAAAAAGATCAGTTCAGGCAATGTGAAATTATTAATGGAAGTGTTTTAAGCTCAGCTTCCTTAAATATCTTGTTGGCAGGAAATTTTGTTATAGACATGAATGTTGAATTTTGTCACAGACATGAATGTTGAATTCTGTAACAGACATGAATGTTGAATTTTGTCCTAGACGTGAATGTTGAATTTTGTCACAGACATGAATGTTGAATTTTGTCACAGACATGAATGTTGAATTTTGTCATAGATATGAATGTCAAATTTTGTGCTAGACATGAGAGAAAGTGTGTGTGGTAAGTGTGGACAGTACAAGAAAAACAATCTTGCCCTTCCCAGTGCATGATGGGAAAAATAAACCTCTGACCTTGTCTTTGGTTTAAATTGGAAACCTTGAGGTGTTTTCTGGGATGATTTTTATGGTTTTATTGGTGTTCCTTGGTATCAACTGATAGAATGGAAGACATAATAGTGTAATGTGTGATTCGGGTCGGTTTCAGAGCAAAAACAGCTTGTACTAGGGCTCAAAGAGTGGAAATATTTGATTTTTGATTAATTTCCTGTGGACAGGTAAAGCACCTTGGGTTTACTCCCACTGCCCCCTGATCAGCTGGGCTGTGGTTCGTACGTTGGTTTACGTGTGGCCAGCAGTAACAGCCTCATTGATCATACCCTGATCTACCATGAGGCCTGTTCTCAGACCAAGCTGAGGGCATTGACCCCCGACACCCTCACCAGGTAAACCCTCCAGGTAATGGTCTGTTTTATGGGTTATTAATGGATCTACTCCAATTACTGAGATAACCTAAACAATGGTCAATTATTCTTGGATATAGAGTAGAACCCCCATATCCGCAGATTTGGTTTCCGTGGTATCAGTCATCCATGGTTTACCGTGGCCTGAAAATATCCCTTAATTTTGCTTAATAATGGCAGCAAAATGCAGAAGTAGTGATGGTGGCAGTTGTTGGCAGCCTCAGACAAGTTGACAGATGCTTCCCATCACTGAAAAAGTAATAATTCTCAACTTATTTTGCAAAATTTATCAGTTAAATTTTATCACGAGTGTGTACGTAAAAGAAAAATGACTTATATACGTAGTGCTCCCTATTATCTGCAGTTTAGGGTACCCACGGTAGGTCTGGGAAAATATCTCCTGCGGTTACAGGGGGGACAACTGTATTTTATTTTCTGAGAAACAGGGTAAAAAACTTTGATTTTTTGTGATGCTTGGAGTATACCTGGAGAGGGTTTTGGGGGTCAATGCCCCCGTGGCTCGGTCTGTGACCAGGCCTCGCGGTGGATCAGGACCTGATCAACAAGGCTGTTACTGCTGGCCACACACAAGCCGATGAACAAACCACAGCCCAGCTGGTCAGGTGCTGATTTTAGATGCCTGTCTGGTGCCTTCTTGAAGACAGCCAGGTGGTAGAGATGTCTGGGGGAGGCTGGAGGCAGTAGAGGTGTCATGTTTGAGGGAAGCTGAAGGCAATAGAGGTGTCATGTCTGGGGGAAACTGAAGGTAGTAGAGATGTCATGTCTGGGGGAGGCTGGAGCAGTAGAGGTGTCATGTCTGGGGAAGGCTGGAGGGAGTAAAGATGTTATGTCTGAAGGCAATGTCTGATGTGAGTATTATTGCAGAAAATTCAGAACAAGGAGACTAGGTGCGGGAGTTACCAAACATATCTCAAAGTTCAGAAGGGGTTGTCGAGGTGGCTTAGATCTCTGGATAAAAATGGAACAAAACAGGATGATTAGGAGGGAGTATAAATCAGGGATGAACTGGGGGGAAAGGATAGGAAGAAAGAGGAGGCTTTGAGTGGTAGGTAGATAGAGACCTTGAACATCTAAGAAGCTTGTGTGAGCATGTTAGATCAGAGTGGAGATGAATAGTTTTTACAATGTGTTGCTGTTGGAGTGTGAGCAAAGTAACAATGATGAATGTTAGAGGGAGACTCGTTAACCAGACTTGAGTCCTGACAACTCCCAGCAAGTACAGTGCCTGTACTCTGAAGCAAGTACAGTGCCTGTACTCTGAAGGAAGGAAGTACAGTGCCTGTACTCTGAAGGAAGTACAGTGCCTGCACTTTGAAGGAAGGAAGTACAGTGCCTGTACTCTGAAGGAGGGAGAGGGGGGGATTACTGCAGTGTGGAGGGTCACCAGAACTGTAATGTCTGTATACATCTAACAAGACAGCTACTAAATAAACAATGGTTAATGTGTTTCCACTTCAGAGTCACATGACCTGGGTGGCAGAGTGCCGGTGTGTTGCAAACAATACCTGTATAATACCAGTGTTGCAAACAATACCTGGATAATACCAGTGTTACAAACAATACCTGTATAATACCAGTGTTACAAACAATACCTGTATAATACCAGTTACAAACAATACCTGTATATACCAGTGTTACAAACAATACCTGTATAATACAAGTGCTACAAACAATACCTGGATAATACAAGTGTTACAAACAATACCTGTATAATACCAGTGTTACAAACAATACCTGTATAATGCTGGAATCTTTCCTCTCTTTGGCTTCATTTTCTTCTTGATCCGGACTGTTGATACCAAATATATCGTGCATGAACTGCGTCTTCATTAAGAACATGATAGCAACACCCTGACTGCAACAACAAACACTATTGTTAGTGACACTCGTACAGAAAAAAATTAAATTATTATCATTATGAAAACTAAGTGGTAAACCCGGCAGGGTCATAGAGGAGTGCAGGGTAGAGTTTGTCAGGGCAGTGAGGAGTGTTAAATGAAGTACAGTGGTACCCTGAGTTTCGAACACCTCCCAACTCGAGCAATTATATGTGTAATATTGTAAGTGCTTCTGCAAGTGTATTTTTAGGGGTCTGGAATGGACTAATGAAATTTACATTATTCCTTATGGGAAGAAATTCGTTCAGTAACGGCACTCAAACATGGGGTGGGGGCGTTGACCCCCGGAACTCTCTCTCTCCAGGTAAACAGCCGTCTGGAAACAATTATGACTCAAACTCAGGGTACCGTTGTATAATCAAAGTTTGTGTAATAAATACATGATATTAACTGTGAAAATGTGTTTTAATTTTTATTTACATGAAGGAGAAGTCTGAGGGTTTATATTGGAGTTTAATGTTCTATATATATAGTAGGTACAGTAATAGGAGTGTATATTATGTATATTAAGAAGCCTTCCTAATCTTCCTTCAATCAAACCTGATTACATCATATTCTGTAAGTGCTGTATCACCCCTACAGGTTTAGCACTCCCCACGGCATTTAATTACATATTATTATCATTATCATTTCACAAAAGTGTAAGTATAGATGGGTGAGAAAGTTTTAAAACCACTGATGTCAACTATTTTCTTATGGTTGTTTGTTGTTCATTAATAATTTAAAAATAACTAAAATATGGTTAATTATCTCTTAGTTTATTACAGTGGATCCCCGGTTAACAATATTTGTTCACTCCAGAAGTATGTTCAGGTGCCGTACTGACCGAATTTGTTCCCATAAGAAATATTGTGAAGTAGATTAGTCCATTTCAGACCCCCAAACATACACGTACAAACGCACTTACATAAATACACTTACATAATTGGTCACATTCGGAGGTGATCGTTATGCGGGGGTCCACTGTACTTATATATAAATTATTAGTAATTATACAAGTGAATACAAAAATATATGACAAACTAAATATTAAGAAAATATTCTATAACAATTACTGTATTAGTGAAGCGCCAATATTGCTCGCTTTAGAGCGCTTCACTAATATTGTTCACTTTAGAGTGCTTCACTAATATTGCTTGCTTTAGAGCGCTTCACTAATATTGTTCACTTTAGAGTGCTTCACTAATATTGCTCGCTTTAGAGCGCTTCACTAATATTGCTTGCTTTAGAGTGCTTCACTAATATTGTTCACTTTAGAGTGCTTCACTAATATTGCTTGCTTTAGAGTGCTTCACTAATATTGCTTGCTTTAGAGCGCTTCACTAATATTGTTCACTTTAGAGTGCTTCACTAATATTGCTTGCTTTAGAGCGCTTCACTAATATTGTTCACTTTAGAGTGCTTCACTAATATTGCTCGCTTTAGAGCGCTTCACTAATATTGCTTGCTTTAGAGTGCTTCACTAATATTGTTCACTTTAGAGTGCTTCACTAATATTGCTTGCTTTAGAGCGCTTCACTAATATTGTTCACTTTAGAGTGCTTCACTAATATTGCTCGCTTTAGAGCGCTTCACTAATATTGCTTGCTTTAGAGTGCTTCACTAATATTGCTTGCTTTAGAGTGCTTCACTAATATTGCTCGCTTTAGAGTGCTTCACTAATATTGCTTGCTTTAGAGTGCTTCACTAATATTGCTTGCTTTAGAGTGCTTCACTAATATTGCTTGCTTTAGAGCGCTTCACTAATATTGCTTGCTTTAGAGTGCTTCACTAATATTGCTTGCTTTAGAGTGCTTCACTAATATTGCTTGCTTTAGAGTGCTTCACTAATATTGCTTGCTTTAGAGTGCTTCACTAATATTGCTCGCTTTAGAGCGCTTCACTAATATTGCTTGCTTTAGAGCGCTTCACTAATATTGCTTGCTTTAGAGTGCTTCACTAATATTGCTTGCTTTAGAGTGCTTCACTAATATTGCTCGCTTTAGAGTGCTTCACTAATATTGCTTGCTTTAGAGTGCTTCACTAATATTGTTCACTTTAGAGTGCTTCACTAATATTGCTTGCTTTAGAGTGCTTCACTAATATTGCTCGCTTTAGAGCGCTTCACTAATATTGCTTGCTTTAGAGCGCTTCACTAATATTGTTCACTTTAGAGTGCTTCACTAATATTGCTTGCTTTAGAGCGCTTCACTAATATTGTTCACTTTAGAGTGCTTCACTAATATTGCTTGCTTTAGAGCGCTTCACTAATATTGCTTGCTTTAGAGCGCTTCACTAATATTGTTCACTTTAGAGCGCTTCACTAATATTGTTCACTTTAGAGCGCTTCACTAATATTGCTTGCTTTAGAGTGCTTCACTAATATTGCTCGCTTTAGAGCGCTTCACTAATATTGCTTGCTTTAGAGTGCTTCACTAATATTGCTCGCTTTAGAGCGCTTCACTAATATTGTTCGCTTTAGAGCGCTTCACTAATATTGTTCGCTTTAGAGCGCTTCACTAATATTGCTTGCTTTAGAGTGCTTCACTAATATTGCTTGCTTTAGAGCGCTTCACTAATATTGCTCGCTTTAGAGCGCTTCACTAATATTGTTCGCTTTAGAGCGCTTCACTAATATTGTTCGCTTTAGAGCGCTTCACTAATATTGCTCGCTTTAGAGCGCTTCACTAATATTGTTCGCTTTAGAGCGCTTCACTAATATTGTTCGCTTTAGAGCGCTTCACTAATATTGTTCACTTTAGAGCGCTTCACTAATATTGCTCGCTTTAGAGCGCTTCACTAATACAGTGCTTTTCAATATTTGTGTTTACGTACTTGGTTAACAGAGCGCTTCAGTAATACAGTGCTAACTTTACAGCGCTTCACTAATACGACGCTTATCAATAATGTGTGTGTTTACTAACTCTGATGTTTGCCGTGCTCCTAAGACGGCTTTCGGCAATCTTCACTTTTTTTTTTATTATTTTTACCTTTGCATCATTGTTAAGCCTAGAGCTATATTACACACTAATAAATAATAGTGTAAACATATTTTTAGGCTTTTATATGCACTGGCAAGTGAAAAAAAAAAAGCTGTGATTGGTTTTAATGTGATATTTGCTTAACATCAACAGTCTGACTCCTGACCCCTATATTAGCCAGGTATGATTATACCTAAATAAGAAAATACAACAGTAACTTAGTAATCAATTTGTTAAGAAAATACAACAGTAACTTAGTAATCAATTTGTTAAGAAAATACAACAGTAACATAGTAATCAATTTGTTAAGAAAATACAACAGTAACATAGTAATCAATTTGTTAAGAAAATTCAACAGTAACTTAGTAATCAATTTGTTAAGAGGATAAAAATGGAATACTTACAAGAAGGAGAAGAAGACAACAGCCTTGATACAGAGGAACTTGGCCAGAGGTGACATGGGGTCCAGCTCCCGTCTCATCGCTTTATAGAACAACACTAAACAATACATGGCCACAAACTGCGATAAGTTGTTTACCACAAAGAGGTAAACAAATGCCTGAAATAAAGAGAAAACTTAATGTTTTACACAGAGTTAACGGGTAATTTAACGTTCGCAACTGAACTTTTTTATTTTTCGTTTGCGCTGAGTACCCGCAATTACCCCTTAAACCTCTTTATATGTTTTGATTATTTTAAGTTAAGACAATTTCAATGCTAAATTTTTAAAATGACTTTGATAAACATTTATATTACTAAAATTTTAATATATGATTTATATCTTTACCAAAGGACCCCAATGGAAATAAGTCACTTTGTCTGACTTTTTTTAGGTTATCCCAGGTTGTCTACACATATGCTGCTATGTATGATAATCTATGTAACTGTGTATACCTGAATAAACTTACTTACTTACTTACTTACTTAAGAGCACTATTGTAACGGCAGGAATTACAATACTGTGACTCGGGTAAATGGTGAAATGTTAGTCCAGTAAATAGATCAACATATACCATGATGCTACTGATGGTAACCAATTAAACGAGGATACCAAATACCATGATAAAAGTGAGGGTAACTCAGTAAAAACAATGCCATCATGCAGTACCATGATGGCACTGATGACAACACAGAGGGAAATCAATGGTTATGGGAGACAAGCTGTACACAAAAATATTATATTAATATTTGTGTTAAAGTTTTACCAGATCTAGAAAACAATACAAAGATACAATACAAAGATACAATACAAAGATACAATACAAAGATACAATACAAAGATACAATACAAAGATACAATACAAAGATACAATACAAAGATACAATACAAAGATACAATACAAAGATACAATACAAAGATACAATACAAAGATACAATACAAAGATACAATACAAAGATACAAAACAAAGATACAATACAAAGATACAATACAAAGATACAATACAAAGATACAATACAAAGATACAATACAAAGATACAATACAAAGATACAATACAAAGATACAATACAAAGATACAATACAAAGATACAATACAAAGATACAATACAAAGATACAATGATACAATACCATGACTGGGACAACACACAAATAATTTCACATATAGCAGACTTATGTGGCAATTATTTGTGTATTAATCAAGTCATAATAAGGAATAAGAAATGAATAAAATGCCGGGAGAAACACTTGTTTTTCTTTTCTGGGTGACTGAACCTCAGTGGGATACTGCCGGTTTGTTGAGAGAAAGAAGAATTAAGAAGCAATAACGTTGTCAGCACAAGCTTTATCCAGGTTTATTAACCCTTAAACTGATCTACATTCACGTGCGTGGCACTCTAAACTTTCTATTTGGCATGCTTTCTTATGTAAAAAAAATAGATCTACGTTCGGAGTGCTACGCATGTAAACGTAGATCTACGATAGGACAATTTAAGGGTTAAAAACCAATGAACATTTACACAAAGTAAAATGTGATAACAAAAGCTAGCTTTGTCCGTGTCTCCACGTGCTATAAGTTGGAAAAAATTTACCAAAAAATACAAATCCACAGAAAAAATATTAATTAGGTTATTCAGCTGAAACCCATAAGCCAGAGAAGATCACAAAAATTTTTCTTCTTAAAATTGGTGCTCCAAAAAAGATTTTCAGTAGTGCTCTGGTATCTGTGGGGGTGGGGTCCAAGAACCACCATGGATGCCCAAAACTGTAGATAGTAGCAAACCCTATACAGCCTCTCCTCACTTAACAATGGAGTTGCGTTCCTAAGACCACGACGGTAAACAAATTCGTCACTAAGTGAGGAGCATACTATAATGGTAGTGGGTTTGTGTCAGCCATCTTTGATATTGATTTAATGTTACTTATGTACCATTTATAACATTTTTAGTATATTTTTAAATGTTTATACACTAGTGTACTGTATACTGTAATAAATGGAATAGAGGAAATCAACTCAAATATACATTATATAGGTATACATAGTTTTCAGAGAGCCTGTCGTAAGTCTGAGGCGTCAGTAAATGAGTACGTTGCTGAGTGAGGAGAGGCTGTATATAAGTAGTATTTCATTTATATACATACCTATGATAATACACAAATAACCTGCACATAGGACAGAAGCGCTTATGACGATGTTTTGGTCTGACTTGGACCATTTACATAGTGTGACTTTGTAAATGGTCCAAGTCAGACCGAAACGTCGTCATAAGCTCCTCTCTGCTATGTGCGGGTTATCTGTGTATTGCTCCAGTCACAGCATTGTGACTTTTTGTTATTTACCTGTGATAAAGTTTAACTGATAAATTATGCACAATGAGTGGAGAATTATCACTTTTTCACTGATGGGAACCACTTGACAGCTTCTCTGAGGCTCTCAACAACTGCCACCATCACTACTTCTGCATTTTAGTGACATAACAAGCAAAATTAAGGGATATTTTCAGGTTAGGGCAAATTGTGGATAATAGGCACCTCAAAAACTGAATCTGTGGATATGGGAGATCTACTGTGTACATATTTTTGAAGACAGCGGCTGTCTCCTACCAAGGCAGGCGACCCAAAAAACAGAAGAAAGAAAAGTTTTCCTTTTTTTTACACTTAGTAATAAAATGTATTAACAATAATTACAAAATGCTGAAGTTTGTGAAGCAGTAAATTCAGAATAATAAATTTTCTAGCAAATTTGACTTATAAAAGAAATTTCACAAGCGAACCACAGAACTGGTGTTGTTTGAACCTAGTACCATATTTTATGGCAAACAAGACACCCTGGTGTCAAACAAGACACCCTGGTGTCAAACAAGACACCCTGGTGTCAAACAAGATACCCTGGTGTCAAACAAGACACCCTGGTGTCAAACAAGACACCCTGGTGTCAAACAAGACACCCTGGTGTCAAACAAGACACCCTGGTGTCAAACAAGACACCTTGGTGTCAAACAAGACACCCTGGTGTCAAACAAGACACCCTGGTGTCAAACAAGACACCCTGGTGTCAAACAAGACACCCTGGTGTCAAACAAGACACCCTGGTGTCAAACAAGACACCCTGGTGTCAAACAAGACACCCTGGTGTCAAACAAGACACCCTGGTGTCAAACAAGACACCCTGGTGTCAAACAAGATACCCTGGTGTCAAACAAGACACCCTGGTGTCAAACAAGACACCCTGGTGTCAAACAAGACACCCTGGTGTCAAACAAGACACCCTGGTGTCAAACAAGACACCCTGGTGTCAAACAAGACACCCTGGTGTCAAACAAGACACCCTGGTGTCAAACAAGACACCCTGGTGTCAAACAAGACACCCTGGTGTCAAGGATGGCCCCCACCTCTGACTGGCTTAAAAGATAAACAGTACTTCAGTCTCCACGACAGTGGGTAAATTTACTACACTTACTTTGGGAAAAAAATAGCATTTTTGATTGGATAAAATGCAGTAAGTACTAACAGTGGAGGCCAGTGTGTTACCCACTGGGCAGTGGAGGCCAGTGTGTTACCCACTGGGCAGTGGAGGTCAGTGTGTTACCCACTGGGCCACACAATGACCTCCAGTTTTACTATTCATTCCCCATGGGTTCAAATCCTACCAGTTCTGTGGCTTGTTTGCAAGCCCTTAATATGATTTTGTGAGTCAGTTCAAGAGTGTGAGAGTCTGATAGTGGAGTAGTAACTGAACACAGTTTTAAGAACTTAAGAAAGGAGGAACAGTGCAGTAGGCCTGTTGGCCCATACTAGGCAGGTCCTTCACAAACCATCCCACTAACAGAATATTTTCCCAAGCCAATTTTCAATGCTACCCAGGCAATAAGCTTTGATAATTTTATTTACTCATGCGCAAGTCCCACTCAAATCGAACCCCTCTCATGCATTTATCAAACCTAAATTTGAAACTACCCAAGGTTTAAGCCTCAATAACTGTACTTACATTCTTGGGTGATAATTTACCCTCCTCATAGACCCCAGCCTGGCCACAGATGAAGGCTATTAAAGTGGTCATCAGGTGGAACACAGTGTACTGCAGGATACCGTGCTTGCAACGGTGAATAAACTCTCTGTAAGCAATGTGAAAAAATAGGTAAACGATATTAAATATTCCCTCCAGTGTAGAAATGCTTTGTACGATGAATGACAGTAAATACTACTGTAAAGTAGATATAGAGATGAAAAAGGTGGTGGTGTGGAGAGGATGTCAGCAGGCAGGAAGAGGGTCACATGGTGGTGTGGAGAGGATGTCAGCAGGCAGGAAGAGGGTCACATGGTGGTGTGAAGAGGATGTCAGCAGGCAGGAAGAGGGTCACATGGTGGTGTGAAGAGAAGGATGTCAGCAGGCAGGAAGAGGGTCACATGGTGGTGTGAAGAGGATGTCAGCAGGCAGGAAGAGGGTCACATGGTGGTGTGGAGAGGATGTCAGCAGGCAGGAAGAGGGTCACATGGTGGTGTGAAGAGGATGTCAGCAGGCAGGAAGAGGGTCACATGGTGGTGTGGAGAGAAGGATGTCAGCAGACAGGAAGAGGGTCACATGGTGGTGTGGAGAGGATGTCAGCAGGCAGGAAGAGGGTCACATGGTGGTGTGGAGAGGATGTCAGCAGGCAGGAAGAGGGTCACATGGTGGTGTGAAGAGGATGTCAGCAGGCAGGAAGAGGGTCACATGGTGGTGTGGAGAGGATGTCAGCAGGCAGGAAGAGGGTCACATGGTGGTGTGAAGAGGATGTCAGCAGGCAGGAAGAGGGTCACATGGTGGTGTGGAGAGAAGGATGTCAGCAGACAGGAAGAGGGTCACATGGTGGTGTGGAGAGGATGTCAGCAGACAGGAAGAGGGTCACATGGTGGTGTGAAGAGAAGGATGTCAGCAGAAAGAATGGGGGTCACAGGGTGGTGCTATGGAGAGAAGGATGTCCACAGACAGGATGGGGGTCACAGGGTGGTAGTGTGGAGAGAAGGATGTCAGCAGATATGCTGACATCCTTCTCTCCACAACACAAATGTTAATTTTATTTTTAAAGTCGCAAATGTTATTTTGTTTTTAAACACGCTGGCCATCTCCCACCAAGCCAGAGTGACCCGAAAAAAGGCAATATGAAGAGTTTCGGGGAAACCAGTCCGCCAGACTTGAGCCCTGGAAGTGGGAAGTACAATATTTGCACTCTAAACTCGAAATCGTAATGACACGATTGCAAACAAACCATACCACGGGCGGGATTGAACCCGTGGTCAGAGAGTCTCAAAACTCCAGACCATGGCTAACGCGGCGGTCTGGAGTTTTGAGACTCTCTGACCGTGGGTTCAATCCCGCCCGTGGTATGGTTTTTTTGCACTCTAAAGGATGGGTGTTAATGTTGCAGTTTTTTAAGTGTAGTGTAGGCATGCCTCTGACAAGACAGTGGTGGAGTGAATGATGATCAAAGTGTTTCTTCTTTTTCGGGTCACTCTGCCTTGGTGCGAAACGGCTAATGTGTTAATAAAAAAAAAAATCCTGCAATCTTACCTGCCCATACGCCAAGGTTTGAGGCAGCAAAGAGGAAAAAAGTGATTTGTTTGAGGTTTGGTCTCCATGGTGGCATCAAGATCCATTTCATCATCGAGGAAGTTCAGGAGGAACATCATGAAGTTGTATATGACATAAGCTTCATAGCACTCCCTGGCAGTGTCCAGGTACGGCGCTAGTGCCGGGTAGCCCAGCACCAGCCACTGTAAAACATCACATCGATATTAATATCTTGCATGGAACACAATGTACTGAAGGAGGGTGGCCACCCTGCCTTGGTGGCCACCCTGCCTTGGTGGCCACCTTACCTTGGTGACCACCTTACCTTGGTGGCCACCTTACCTTGGTGGCCACCTTACCTTGGTGACCACCTTACCTTGGTGACCACCTTACCTTGGTGGCCACCTTACCTTGGTGGCCACCTTACCTTAGTGGCCACCCTACCTTGGTGGCCACCTTACCTTGGTGGCCACCTTACCTTGGTGGCCACCTTACCTTGGTGACCTTACCTTGGTGACCACCTTACCTTGGTGACCACCTTACCTTGGTGGCCACCTTACCTTAGTGGCCACCCTACCTTGGTGGCCACCTTACCTTGGTGGCCACCTTACCTTAGTGGCCACCCTACCTTGGTGACCACCTTACCTTGGTGGCCACCTTACCTTAGTGGCCACCCTACCTTGGTGGCCACCTTACCTTGGTGGCCACCTTACCTTGGTGGCCACCTTACCTTGGTGACCTTACCTTGGTGACCACCTTACCTTGGTGACCACCTTACCTTGGTGGCCACCTTACCTTGGTGACCTTACCTTGGTGACCACCTTACCTTGGTGACCACCTTACCTTGGTAGCCACCTTACCTTAGTGGCCACCCTACCTTGGTGGCCACCTTACCTTGGTGGCCACCTTACCTTGGTGACCACCTTACCTTGGTGACCACCTTACCTTGGTGGCCACCTTACCTTGGTGGCCACCTTACCTTGGTGGCCACCTTACCTTGGTGGCCACCTTACCTTGGTGACCACCTTACCTTGGTGGCCACCTTACCTTGGTGACCACCTTACCTTGGTGGCCACCTTATCTTGGTGGCCACCTTACCTTGGTGGCCACCTTACCTTGGTGGCCACCTGACCTTGGTGGCCACTTTACCTTGGTGGCCACCTTACCTTGGTGGCCACCTTACCTTGGTGACCACCTTACCTTGGTGACCACCTTACCTTGGTGACCACCTTACCTTGGTGGCCACCTTACCTTGGTGGCCACCTTACCTTGGTGGCCACCTTACCTTGGTGGCCACCTTACCTTGGTGGCCACCTTACCTTGGTGGCCACCTTACCTTGGTGGCCACCCTGCCTTGGTGGGTGACGGCCAATGTGTTAATAATAAAATACAGTGGACCCCCGCATAACGATCACCTCCGAATGCGACCAATTATGTAAGTGTATTTATGTGAGTGAGTTTGTACGTGTATGTTTGGGGGTCTGAAATGGACTAATCTACTTCACAATATTTCTTATGGGAACAAATTCGGTCAGTACTGGCACCTGAACATACTTCTGGAGTGAAAAAATATCGTTAACCGGGGGTCCACTGTAGATGTACTTCATGAAATATTAAGTCTACCAAGGAAGGTGTATTTACAATGAGTAATTAAGGCTTATATTCTTCAGAAGTTCAATGGGAAACTAGCTCTTAATGCTTCAAACGTGGGAAGCCACGTACAGTAAACCTGTGATATGACGAATTAACGGAGAATTTTCCGAGTGTTCAATTAAATGAGAATGTTACAAGATCGTAGTGTAGACACAATTTACAAATAAAGTGCAATAATTTTTTTAAAACACTGGCCGTCTTCCACTGAGGTATAGTGACCTGAAAAAGAAAAACTTTCACCATCATTCACTCCATCACTGTCTTGCCAGAAGGGTGCTTTACACTACAGTTTTCAAACTGCAACATTAACACCCCTCCTTCAGAGTGCTGACACTGTACTTCCCATCCCTGAACCCCTTCATAAATGTTACTTTGCTCACACTCCAACAGCACGTCAAGTCCTAAAAACCATTTGTCTCCATTCGCTCCTATCTAACACACTCACACATGCTTGCTGGAAGTCCAAGCCCCTCACACACAAAACCTCCTTCCAATCTTTCCTAGGCCGACCCTTACCCCAACTTCCCTCCACAACAGATTTATACACTCTTGAAGTCATTCTATTTCCTTCCATCCTCTCTACATGTCCAAATCACCTCAACAACCCCTCCTCAGCCCTCTGGATAATAGTTTTGGTAATCCCGCACCGCCTCCTAATTTCCAAAGTATGAATTCTATGCATTATATTCCCAGTACACATTGCCCTCAGACATGACATCTCCACTGCCTCCAGCCTTCTCCTTGTTGCAACATTCACCACCCATGTTTCACACCCATATAAGAGTGCTGGTATAACTATACTCTCATACATTCCCCTCTTTGCTTCCATGGACAAAGATCTTTGTCTCCACAGACTCCTGAAGGCTGCTGCTGTTGCTGATTTATGGAGGTTGTAAACTAATATTATTTCTTCATTTAGTCACATTTTAATGGTTCTATAAGAACAAAAGCCACAGTATTCTGCTTGGAACAATTTATATCATTGACCCTTTGACTGTCGCGGCCGTATATATACATCTTACGAGGTACCGTGTTTGACGTATATATACCCATAAATTCTAGCGGCTTCAAATCAAGCAGGAGAAAGCTGGTAGGCCCACATGTGAGAGAATGGGTCTGTGTGGTCAGTGTGCACCATATAAAAAAATCCTGGAGCACACAGTGCATAACGAGAAAAAAAAAATCCGACCGTTTTTTTTTAATTAAAATGCCGACTTTGTGGTCTATTTTCGTATAGTATTTATGGTTGTATTCTCATTTTCTTGGTTCATTTGATAGAAGGGAAAACATATTATAGAAATGGAGGTGATTTTGATTGATTTTACTATAAAAAGAACCTGGAAATGGAGCTCAAAGTAGAGGAAATGTTTGATTTTTGCCAATGTTCGAAAGTAAACAAATGATGTCATTGTCCAATAAATGTCCAACTAGCCATTCTAATATACAGTCATGAATGGGTTGATGTTATTTATACAATTATTACAGTATTGCAGAAAGTCTGCATAATAGTAAGTCTTCTATTTTTTGTTTGAAAAAAATTCAAAAAAAGAAGCAAGAGTAATATCAGAGGGGCCTGGAGACATGACTGATGAAAAAAGGGAAAATGTTATTTAGAGCCAGGAATGTCTGCATTGTTCATTCTGGACCTTATTTTGAAATTGTCATATTGTTTAGTTTTTGTGAAATTGGCCAAATTGCAAATTTCTGACCACATTATTAGGTAGTTGTAATTGGTAAATGGGCAGTTTCTTGTACTCAATCGATAAACAAAATGGAGTTCTAAAGAAATAGCTATGAGTTTGGGCGACTGGATCAATGGAATTAGCCGAAAATTGGGCTCAAAGTGGGCGAAATCGCCGATTTGTAAACAGCGCCGAGATTGCTAACTTCGCGAGAGCATAATTCCGTCAGTTTTCCATCAAATTTCGTTTTTTTTGGTGTCAGTACAATCGGGAAAAGATTCTCTATCATTTCATAAGAAAAAATAATTTTTTTTTTAAATTTTGCGACATCAGGAGACACCTCAGGATTGGGGGTTGCGACAGTCAAAGGGTTAAACATACCCAAGTCTTGTGTATGTGTTTTATTTATATCCGGAGTTTACCAGGAGGGTGCTCCAGGGGTCAACACCCCTGTGGCCCGGTCCATGACCAGGCCTCCTGGTGGACCAGAGGGCCTGATCAATCAGCATGTTACTGCTGGCTGCAAGCAAATCATCAACTTTAAAATATCTCTGAATTTAGTGAGGAAACTTTAGACGACTTTTCGGTCAGTCCTGGATCATTATTACTCACAACCTGGACCAGGATGGATCATTATTACTCACAACCTGGACCAGGATGGATCATTATTACTCACAACCTGGACCAGGATGGATCATTATTACTCACAACCTGGACCAGGATGGATCATTATTACTCACAACCTGGACCAGGATGGATCATTACTCACAACCTGGACCAGGATGGATCATTATTACTCACAACCTGGACCAGGATGGATCATTATTACTCACAACCTGGACCAGGATGGATTACTCACAACCTGGACCAGGATGGATCATTACTCACAACCTGGACCAGGATGGATCATTATTACTCACAACCTGGACCAGGATGGATCATTATTACTCACAACCTGGACCAGGATGGATCATTATTACTCACAACCTGGTCCAGGATGGATCATTACTCACAACCTGGTCCAGGATGGATCATTACTCACAACCTGGACCAGGATGGATCATTACTCACAACCTGGACCAGGATGGATCATTATTACTCACAACCTGGACCAGCATGGATCATTACTCACAACCTGGACCAGGATGGATCATTACTCACAACCTGGACCAGGATGGATCATTATTACTCACAACCTGGACCAGGATGGATCATTATTACTCACAACCTGGACCAGGATGGATCATTATTACTCACAACCTGGACCAGGATGGATCATTACTCACAACCTGGTCCAGGATGGATCATTACTCACAACCTGGTCCAGGATGGATCATTACTCACAACCTGGTCCAGGATGGATCATTACTCACAACCTGGACCAGGATGGATCATTACTCACAACCTGGTCCAGGATGGATATTACTAAAAAAACCCTGGTCCAGGATGGATCATTATTACTCACAACCTGAACCAGGATGGATCATTACTCACAACCTGGTCCAGGATGGATCATTATTACTCACAACCTGGACCAGGATGGATCATTACTCACAACCTGGTCCAGGATGGATCATTACTCACAACCTGGTCCAGGATGGATCATTACTCACAACCTGAACCAGGATGGATCATTACTCACAACCTGGTCCAGGATGGATCATTACTCACAACCTGAACCAGGATGGATCATTACTCACAACCTGGTCCAGGATGGATCATTACTCACAACCTGGTCCAGGATGGATCATTACTCACAACCTGAACCAGGATGGATCATTACTCACAACCTGAACCAGGATGGATCATTACTCCGTTATGTCGGAGGATCTCACCTTCAAGGACCATAACATTGTATCAATCGCATCTGCTAGAAATATGACAGGATGGATAATGAGAACCTTCAAAACTAGGGAGGCCAAGCCCATGATGACACTCTTCAGGTCACTTGTTCTATCTAGGCTGGAATATTGCTGCACACTAACAGCACCTTTCAAGGCAGGTGAAATTGCCGACCTAGAAAATGTACAGAGAACTTTCACGGCGCGCATAACGGAGATAAAACACCTCAATTACTGGGAGCGCTTGAGGTTCCTAAACCTGTATTCCCGGGAAACGCAGGAGGGAGAGATACATGATTATATACACCTGGATAATCCTAGAGGGACTAGTACCGAACTTGCACACGAAAATCAACTCACTACGAAAGCAAAAGACTTGGCAGACGATGCACCACCCCCCCAATGAAAAGCAGGGGTGTCACTAGCACGTTAAGAGACCATACAATAAGTGTCAGGGGCCTGAGACTGTTCAACTGCCTCCCAGCATACATAAGGGGGATTACCAACAGACCCCTGGCAGTCTTCAAGCTGGCACTGGACAAACACCTAAAGTCAGTTCCTGATCAGCCGGGCTGTGGCTCGTACGTTGGTTTGTGTGCAGCCAGCAGCAACAGCCTGGTTGATCAGGCTCTGATCCACCAGGAGGCCTGGTCACAGACCGGGCCGCGGGGGCATTGACCCCCGAAACTCTCTCCAGGTAAACTCCAGGTAAACAACCTGGTCCAGGATGGATCATTACTCACAACCTGATCCAGGATGGATCATTACTCACAACCTGGTCCAGGATGGATCATTACTCACAACCTGGTCCAGGATGGATCATTACTCACAACCTGGCCCAGGATGGATCATTACTCAAAAACCTGGTCCAGGATGGATCATTACTCACAACCTGGTCCAGGATGGATCATTACTCACAACCTGGTCCAGGATGGATCATTACTCACAACCTGGTCCAGGATGGATCATTACTCACAACCTGGTCCAGGATGGATCATTACTCACAACCTGGTCCAGGATGGATCATTACTCACAACCTGTCCAGGATGGATCATTACTCACAACCTGGTCCAGGAGGATCATTACTCACAACCTGGTCCGGGATGGATCATTACTCACAACCTGGTCCAGGATGGATCATTACTCACAACCGGGTCCAGGATGGATCATTATTTCACAACCTTTGGTCCAGGATGGATCATTACTCACAACCTGGTCCAGGATGGATCATTACTCACAACCTGGTCCAGGATGGATCATTACTCACAACCTGGTCCAGGATGGATCATTACTCAAAACCCTGGTCCAGGATGGATTCTTTACTCACAATCCTGGTCCAGATGGATCTTTACTCACAACCTGGTCCAGGATGGATCATTACTCACAACCTGGTCCAGGATGGATCATTACTCACAACCTGGTCCGGAGGGATCTTTTACTCACAACCTGGTCCAGGATGGATCATTCTCACAACCTGATCCAGGATGGATCATTACTCACAACCTGGTCCAGGATGGATCATTACTCAAAACCCTGGTCCAGGATGGATCATTACTCACAACCTGGTCCAGGATGGATCATTACTCACAACCTGGTCCAGGATGGATCATTACTCACAACCTGGTCCAGGATGGATCATTACCTCACAACCTGGTCCAGGATGGATCTTTTCTCAACAACCTGGTCCAGGATGGATCATTACTCCACAACCTGGTCCGGATGGATCATTACTCACAACCTGGTCCAGGATGGATCATTACTCACAACCTGGTCCGGGATGGATCATTACTCACAACCTGGTCCAGATGGTCATTACCCACAACCTGGTCAGGGATGGATCATTATTCACAACCTGGTCCAGGATGGATCATTACTCACACCTGGTCCAGGATGGATCATTACTCAACCTGGTCCGGAGGGATCATTACTCACAACCTGGTCCAGGATGGATCATTACTCACAACCTGGTCCAGGATGGATCATTACTCACAACCTGGTCCAGGATGGATCATTACTCACAACCTGGTCCAGGATGGATCATTACTCACAACCTGGTCCAGGATGGATCATTACTCACAACCTGATCCAGGATGGATCATTACTCACAACCTATCCAGGATGGATCATTACTCAACAACCTGACCCAGGATGGATCATTACTCACAACCGGTCCAGGATGGATCATTACTCACAACCTGATCCAGGATGGATCATAATATCCTCTGACATTTCCTGTCTAAGGTGATATAAATATTTTAGAAAACTAACAAGTTGATAAATGACTCACTTACGCAACATCTGGGAATATTTATTATGGTAACATTTCACCAGCCAGCAGCTTCTTCAGTCCAATATAAGGAAGAACAGTGGAAGATGAGGAGTTTGAGGGAATCAGTCCTTCACCTGGAGTCGAAGTGTTCCGTCCATCAATTGTAATGGACTGAGGAAGTTGGTAGATAAGACACATAGGCAACATTTAGGCAACTTTATTCCGAATAAAGTTGCCTAAATGTTGCCTATGTGTCTTATCTACCAACTTGTCGGTATTGTATACCATTTGATAATCACATCGGACTGAGGAAGTCACTGGCTGGCAAAATCTTTCCTCATTTATCAACAAAATTTTCCTCATTTATCAACAAAATCTTTCCTCATTTATCATGTTGGTTTATAAATCAGTTATTCACACTAATTAGTATACAAGAAAAAACTCACTTTTATGGTAGAGTGGAACCTTGGGGTACGAATACCTCCGAACTTGAACAATTACGTAAGTGTATTTTTGTAAGTGCTTCTGTACGTGTATTTTTGGGGGTCAGAAACAGATTAATCTAACTTGCATTATTCCTTATGGGAACAAATTCGTTAGGTATTGGCGCTCGAACAGCCGTCTGTAACAAATTAAGTTCGTAACTCAAGGTAGCACTGTATATTTCTTTGCCAGCTAGAGGGCATTAGTATCAACTTGTAACTAAGAGAATAACTTACAGCATTGAGAGCGTACACAGGAACCATCCACAGGACTCTGAAACAAACAATATACTATATTAAATTATTATTATAAGCACGGGGGAGCGCTAAACCCGTAGGATTATACAGCACATGTGGGGGGGGGGGATGGAAAGTATTCAGGCTCAATTCAGGGAACCAGAGCATAGATCCAATTCCCTAGATCAAGAGCCCCTCACCATCATCAAGGAACCTCCCTTGAGGGAAAACATATTAAATATATAAGGCTCGAAACTGGGCCTTTGTTTGTAAGCCTAAAATGTTCATGCTACTGAGCTGCCAGACACAGCACAGTATGTATAATGTTCACCTAGCAGTAAATAGGTACCTAGCTGACTTTCTTACATCTGCTGCTTAGGTTCACCTAGCAGTAAATAGGTACCTAGTTGACTTACTTACACCTGCTGCTTAGGTTCACCTAGCAGTAAATAGGTACCTAGCTGACTTTCTTACATCTGCTGCTTAGGTTCACCTAGCAGTAAATAGGTACCTAGTTGACTTTCTTACACCTGCTGCTTAGGTTCAGTTAGCAGTAATTAAGTAACTAATATATGAAGGTAAGACTGCAACAAGAGTTGTGTCATGACATCATCATCATCAGGGAAACTGACATCACTGGGAAGCGCTCAACCTGTGGGGGGTAACACAACACCTGGGGAAGGGATGGTAATCACATTTAATCCAAGAAAAGAGAGGATATCTTCACTTCCCTGGATCAAGAGCCCTGCACTAACATCGAGACATCCACCTAGAAAGTCACACGAGGAAAAACATTAACTAGTGAAAATAATAAAATTTATTCTGCATTTTTAAGAAAAATGTTTAGTTAGAATTTTTACTTTCAAATTTATATTTATTCTGTTATTATTATTATCATTATTATTATTATTATCATTATTATTATTATTATCATTATCATTGAAGAAGATAATGAGATGTTTATCACAGCTCCCTCTCAGGACCTCTCATTATGATTAATTCAATTATTTTCTGTAACACATCGACCGCTTCCCACCGAGGTGGGTGACCCAAAAATGAAAAAACGCTTTCATCATTATTCAGTCCATCACTGTCTTGCCGGAGGTATGCTGATACTACACTTCAAAACAGCAAATATCCCCATACATTCTTCAGAGTACAGACACTGTGCTTCACACCTTCACTTTATTTTTTAACACATCGACCGTCTCCCACCGAGGCAGTGACCCAAAAAAGGCAATTTTTTTTTTACGTCTAGTAATTCATACAGGAGAAGGTGTTACTAGCACCTAGCTGCCGGCACTTTAGTCGCCTCTTACAACACACACGGCTCTTACAACACACACGGCTCTTACAACACACACGGCTCTTACAACACACATGGCTCTTACAACACACCCCGGCTCTTACAACACACATTGGCTCTTACAACACACACGGCTCTTAAAAACACACAACGGCTCTTACAACACACACGGCTCTTACAACACACACGGCTCTTACAACACACATGGCTCTTACAACACACATGGCTCTTACAACACACACGGCTCTTACAACACACATGGCTCTTACAACACACACGGCTCTTACAACACACATGGCTCTTACAACCCCACACGGCTCTTACAACACACACGGCTCTTACAACACACCGGCTCTTACAACACACATGGCTCTTACAAACACACACGGCTCTTACAACACACATGGCTCTTACAAACACATGGCTCTTACAACACACACGGCTTTACAACACACACGGCTCTTACAACACACACGGCTCTTACAACACACACGGCTCTTACAACACACACGGCTCTTACAACACACACGGGTCTTACAACACACGGGGTCTTACAACAAAACACGGCTCTTACAACACACATGGCTCTTACAACCCACACGGCTCTTACAACACACACGGCTCTTACAACACACACGGCTCTTACAACACACACGGCTCTTACAAAAACACACGGCTCTTACAACACACACGGCTCTTACAACACACACGGCTCTTACAACACACACGGCTCTTACAACACACACGGCCTTACAACACACATGGCTCTTACAACACACATGGCTCTTACAACACACATGGGTCTTACAACACACCGGCTCTTACAACACACACGGCCCCTTACAACACACACGGCTCTTACAACACACATGGCTCTTACAACACACATGGCTCTTACAACACACACGCTCTTACAAACACACATGGCTCTTACAACACACACGGCTCTTACAACACACACGGCTCTTACAACACACATGGCTCTTACAACACACATGGCTCTTACAACACACATGGGTCTTACAACACACATGGGGTCTTACAAACCACATGGCTCTTACAAACACCACGGCTCTTACAACACACACGGCTCTTACAAAAACACACGGCTCTTAAACACACACGGCTCTTACAACACACATGCCTCTTACAAAAACACATGGCTCTTACAACAAAACATGGCTCTTACAACACACACGGCTCTTACAACACACATGGCTTTACAACACACACGGCTCTTAAACACACATGGCTCTTTAAAAACACACTGGCTCTTACAACACACATGGCTCTTACAACACACACGGCTCTTACAACACACATGGCTCTTACAACACACACGGCTCTTACAACACACATGGCTCTTACAACACACACGGCTCTTACAACACACACGGCTCTTACAACACACATGGCTCTTACAACACACATGGCTCTTACAACACACATGGCTCTTACAACACACATGGCTCTTACAACACACATGGCTCTTACAACACACACGGCTCTTACAAAAACACCCCGGCTCTTACAACACACACGGCTTTACAACACACACGGCTCTTACAACACACATGGCTCTTACACACACATGGGTCTTACAACACACACCGGGTCTTACAAACACACACGGTCTTACAACACACAATGTCTTACAAACACACACGGCTCTTACAACACACACGGCTCTTACAACACACACGGCTCTTACAACACACACGGCTCTTACAAAAACACACGGCTCCCTTTCAACACACAACGGCTCTTACAACACACACGCTCTTCAAACACACATGGCTCTTACAACACAATGGCTCTTAAAAACCACACATGGCTCTTACAACACACACGGCTCTTACAACACACATGGCTCTTACAACCACATGGCTCTTACAACACACATGGCTCTTACAACACACACGGCTCTTACAACACACATGGCTCTTACAACAACATGGCTCTTACAACACACATGGCTCTTACAAACACATGGCTCTTTCAACACACATGGCTCTTAAACACCACGGCTTTTTACAACAAAACACGGCTCTTACAACACACAGGCTCTTACAACACACATGGCTCTTACAACACACATGGCTCTTACAACACACAAGGCTCTTACAACACACACGGCTCTTCAACACACACGGCTCTTACAACACACACGGCTCTTACAACACACACGGCTCTTACAACACACATGGCTCTTACAACACACACGGCTCTTACAACACACACGGCTCTTACAACACACACGGCTCTTACAACACACACGGCTCTTACAACACACATGGCTCTTACAACACACATGGCTCTTACAACACACATGGCTCTTACAACACACACGGCTCTTACAACACACACGGCTTTTTACACACACACGGCTCTTAAAAACACACACGGCTCTTACAACACACACGGCTTTACAAACACACACGGCTCTTACAACACACAATGCTCTTACAACACACATGGCTCTTACAACACACACGGCTCTTACAACACACATGGCTCTTACAACACACACGGCTCTTACAACACACACGGCTCTTACAACACACACGGCTCTTACAACACACACGGCTCTTACAACACACATGGCTCTTACAACCCCACTGGCTCTTACAACACACATGGCTCTTACAACACACACGGCTCTTACAACACACATGGCTCTTACAACACACATGGCTCTTACAACACACATGGCTCTTACAACAAAACCGGCTCTTACAACACACATGGCTCTTACAACCACACATGGCTCTTACAACACACATGGCTCTTACAACACACATGGTCTTACAACACACATGGCTCTTACAACACACAAAGGCTCTTACAACACACACGGCTCTTACAACACACACGGCTCTTACAACACACATGGCTCTTACAACACCCTGGCTCTTACAACACACAAGGCTCTTACAACACACACGGCTCTTTTCAACACACACGGCTCTTACAAACACACACGGCTCTTACAACACACACGGCTCTTACAACACACACGGCTCTTACAACACACATGGCTTTACAACACACATGGCTCTTACAACCACACATGGGTCTTACAACACACACGGCTCTTACAACACACATGGCTCTTACAACACACATGGCTCTTACAACACACATGGCTCTTACAACACACACGGCTCTTACAACACACATGGGTCTTACAACACACATGCTCTTACAACACACATGGTCTTAAACACCTGGCTCTTACAACACACATGGCTCTTACAACACACACGGCTCTTACAACACACACGGCTCTACAACACACATGGCTCTTACAACACACATGGCTCTTACAACACCATGGCTTTTACAACACACATAGCTCTTACAACAAAACAATGCTCTAACAACACACAATGCTCTTACAACACACATGGCTTTTACAACACACATGGCTCTTACAACACACATAGCTCTTACAACACACCCAAAGCTCCCTTTCAACACACATGGCTCTTACAACACACATGCTCTTACAACACACACGACTCTTACAACACACACGACTCTTACAACACACACGGCTCTTACAACACACACCAAATCTTACAACACACACAGCTCTTACAACACACATGGCTCTTACAACACACACAGCTCTTACAACACACACGACTCTTACAACACACACAGCTTTACAACACACATGGCTCTTACAACACACACATCTTACAACACACACGACTCTTACAAAACACACAGCTCTTACAACACACACGGCTCTTACAACACACACGACTCTTACAACACACACGACTCTTACAACACACAAAAACTCTTACAACACACCAACGACTCTTACAACACACCGGCTCTTACAACACACACGGCTCTTACAACACACCGGCTCTTACAACACACACGGCTCTTACAACACACACGCCTCTTACAACACACACGACTCTTACAACACACACGGCTCTTACAACACACATGCTCTTACAACACACACGGCTCTTACAACACAACGGCTCTTACAACACACACGACTCTTACAAAAACACACGGGTCTTACAAACACACAGACTCTTACAACACACACGGCTCTTACAACACACACGGCTCTTACAACACACACGACTCTTACAACACACACGGCTCTTACAACACACACGACTCTTACAACACACACGACTCTTACAACACACACGACTCTTACAACACACACGACTCTTACAACACAAACGGCTCTTACAAAAACACACTGCTCTTACAAAACACACGGCTCTTACAACACACACGGCTCTTACAACACACAACGATCTTTACAACACACACGGCTCTTACAACACACACGACTCTTACAACACACACGGCTCTTACAACACACATGGCTCTTACAACACACACGACTCTTACAACACACACGGCTCTTACAACACACATGACTCTTACAACACACACGGCTCTTACAACACACACGACTTACAAAGGAAGGAGTCTTCTACACTTCCCCACAGAGATAATTCACTTATAAAAATAAAATATAAGTGTAATATATAACAGACCTGATAATGTGTTTCTGTAATTTGGGTTTAGTATAGTTGATGAGATGTTGAACAATTTCCCACAGTGTTATCGGGATGGCCATGAAGACGAAGATGCCGCCAATCAACCAGGCGATAGTGAACCCATCAATCCCTTGTAAAATCTGTCAGTGATAAATACACCTCTACATATCTTTATACCTTTGCAGCGATTACAATATTAACCCTTAAACTATCCAAACGTAGATCTACGTTCACTCCGAACGTAGATCTACGTTCACTCGTGTAGCGCTCTGAATGTAGATCTACATTCACTCGTGTAGCACTCTGAACGTAGATCTACGTTCACTCGTGAAGCACTCCGAACGTAGATCTATGTTCACTCGTGAAGCACTTTCCCAACGTAGATCTACTTCACTCATGTAACGCTCCGAATGTAGATCTACGTTCACTCGTGTAGCACTCCGAACTAGATCTACGTTTTATTTTACATTTTGAAGGCATGTACAATAAAAATATAGATCTACGTTCGGAGCGCTACGTGAGTGAACGTAGATCTACGTTCGGAGCGCTACGTGAGTGAACGTAGATCTACACTTGTACAGTTTAAGGGTTAAATAATATACATTAAATTATTTCTTTCCCTGATTATAATAAAATGTAATATTTATAAATACTTTTTTTTAATAAAGAGGAAGCACACATTATACATCCAGGTTTTACTTAATTGCCATTAAATACAAGAAAATGAAACAAGGATAATAATCTTTGACAAAATAATCCAGAGGTACCAGGGGCTGTAGCTCAGGGACCTCCTCCAGCTGGAGGGCTTCCAGGGGTTGCAGCTCAGGGACCTCCTCCAGCTGGAGGGCTTCCAGGGGCTGTAGCCCTGGGGCCTCCTCCAGCTGGAGGGCTTCCAGGGGCTGTAGCCCAGAGGCCTTCCCCGGCTGGAGGGCTTCCAGAAGTTGTAACCCAGGGGCCTCCTCCAGCTGGAGGGCCTCCAGAGGTTGTAGTCCATGGGCCTCTGCCAGCTGGAGGGCTTCCAAGGGCTGCAGCCCCTGGAAAATATCACTGGAGGCCCCTCACAATACTGTAGCCAGGGTTCTGACAGTAGAGTAGCCCAGGGTCCTCACAGTACTGTAGCCCAGAGTACTCACAGTACTGTAGCCCAGGGGCCTGACAGTGTAGGCCAGGGTCTTGACAGTACTGTAGCCCAGGGGCCTGACAGTGTAGGCCAGGGTCTTGACAGTACTGTAGCCCAGGGGCCTGACAGTAGTGTAGCCCAGGGTCCTGACAGTAGAGTAGCCCAGGGGCCCCTCACTGTGCTGTATCCCAGGGGGCTGACAGTACTGTAGCCCAGGGGCCTGAAAGTAGTGTAACCCAGGGGCCCTCACAGTACTGTAGCCCAGGAGCCTACAAAATCTTAATCCAGCTCTGGTCTTGTATTACATTACCTTTACAGCAGAGTACCTAAGTGCTTATTTTATCAATATTTAGCATTATTCTGATAAACCAGAAACTCGAACAACCCCTATTAGTCCATTACACAGAGGGTTTACTGTACCTATAAAGTCAAAGCTTAACGGATGACTTGAAATGCCCCGGCATTATAGTGGACTTTTTTAGATTTTACCACTGAAGTGGCTAGTTTTTTGTGCACACCATATCCATCCTGTGGACGGTAGCACAAGAGCGTATGGATACACAAAAGACCTAGGAACTAGGCCCCAAAAGGATTAACAGGTGTACATTTGGATTTATATGTACATAATTACAGCTGGCTTTCTTTGCACTTAGCAAATCAAAATTGTAATCACACGTTGTAAACACTGCAAGGAAATAAAACGTTTACCTTTAACAATAAACATTAAGTGGAAGGGTAACAAGGTACATACATGTATCAGACACGTACCAGTGTGTATATGAGATAGGGAACGAAGCCTAAAATAATGCCACCGTATAGAACGAAGACCAGTGGTCTGATCCAGAGGCGCCATTGTGAACATAGAACGCGGCACCTCTCGCCACACATCTTCGATTCAGCGTCTCAGATTTATCAGTAAAAGCAGCCAAAAATTTCCATCCTGTTGAGAATTATGGGAATTAAGTTTGCAGAACCAAAAAACAAATATGTACAGTGGAACCCCCGGATTTCAGCTGTAATCCATTCTAGAAGGTCGGCTTAAATCCGAAAAGGCAAAAAAAACGAAGTAATATATCCCATAAGAATTAATGTAAGTACAATTAATCCGTTCCAGACACCCAAAAATATTAACAAAAAATACATTTTTTAAAGATTAATTATAGTTTTACATACACAAAACAATAACTAAATAAAATAAATAAATGAACATTTAAATCACTATTACAAACCTTCACTGAAGACTTTTGTTGTGTAAGACAGAGAGGAGGAGAGTGGCAGCACTGATTACTGTTTATGTAAGACAGAGAGGAGGAGAGTGGCAGCACTGATTATGTAAGACAGAGAGGAGGAGAGAGGCACCACTGATTACTGTTTATGTAAGACAGAGAGGAGGAGAGTGGCACCACTGATTACTGTTTATGTAAGACAGAGAGGAGGAGAGTGGCACCACTGATTACTGTTTATGTAAGACAGAGAGGAGGAGAGTGGCACCACTGATTTTCTGTTTTTGTAAGACAGAGAGGAGGAGAGTGGCACCACTGATTACTGTTTATGTAAGACAGAGAGGAGGAGAGTGGCACCACTGATTACTGTTTATGTAAGACAGAGAGGAGGAGAGTGGCAGCACTGATTATGTAAGACAGAGAGGAGGAGAGTGGCAGCACTGATTACTGTTTATGTAAGACAGAGAGGAGGAGAGTGGCAGCACTGATTACTGTTCAGAAGGGGAATCCCCCTTCATAAAGACTTTAGGTATCAAAGTCCTCTCTGGGGTTACTTTCCTTCTTTGTCTTCTACTGGCACTAGCACCAACTTGAGAGTCACTGCACACCTGTTGAACAAAAGAAAACTGCCCAGAGAGCTCTGTTTCTGGCAGTTCTTTAAGATTTGCCTGAAGTGGGACAAGGTTTTTGTCACTGAACATGTTGCAGACATGGCTTGCAACAGGTTTGTTAGGGTGATATTTCTCCACAAAACTTTGCAACTCACTCCACTTTGCACAAATGTCCTTAATCACTGAAGAAGACACCTTCTTCCATCTCTCTTCCTCCTCCTCTGAAACAATTTCCTCAGCTGTGGTCTGTGCTGTTCCAGTTGAAGGTGTTGCAGCTCTTCAGTGGTTAGCTCTTCCCTGTGGTCCTCCACCAACTCTTCCACATCCTCACCACTCACATCTAACCCCATCGACTTTCCAAAAGACACAACAGATTCCACAACAGGTGTAGGGTCGACAGGGTCAGCCTCAAACCCTTCAAAATCCTTCTCTTGGACACAATCTGGCCACAATTTTCTCCAAGAAGAGGTCATCGTCCTGGAAGTCACTCCCTCCCAAGGCTTATGCAATTGAGGATATTGAAGTGATTCCTCCAGAACTCTCTTAGGGTCAAGTCAGTGTCTGAGGTCACATCTAAGCACCTTTGAAACACTGCTTTGGTGTAAAGTTTTTTGAAGTTTGAAATGACCTGCTGGTCCATGGGCTGGATGAGAGGAGTGGTATTAGGGGGCAAGAACTTCACTGTAATGAAACTAAATTCTTCCAACAATTGGTCTTCCAAGTCTGGAGGATGAGCAGGAGCAGTGTCCAGTACCAGGAGGCACTGGAGTGTCAATTGATTTTCCAGGAGGTATTTCTTCACACTCGGACCAAACACCTAACTGACCCACTCAATCAAAATTTGCCTCGTGACTCATGCCTTATTGTTAGCCTTCCACATCACACACAATTTACTTTTGATGACGTTGTTTTTCTTGAACACTCAGGGATTATCAGAGTGATACACCATTAAAGGCTTCACTTTGAAATCCCCTCTAGCATTACCATAGAACAAAAGAGTTAGCCTATCCTTCATAGGCTTGTGTCCTGTGTGATACAGGTCCTCTTTGGCACTTTCTTCCAAAAGAGGCCTGTTTTGTCACAATTGAAGACTTGTTGGAGGAGGAATCCTTCAGCCTCTATGTACTCCTTGAATTCATCAATGAATTCTTCGGCTCCATATTTGTCTGAATTTGCAGCCTTGCCATGCCTTATCACACTGTGTATGCTACTTCGCTTCTTGAATTTGTCGAACCAGCCTCTGCTGGCCTTAAATTCACTAACAGCAGCACTCGTTCCAGGCATTTTCTTTGCAAGATCCGCATCCAACTGCCTCGTCTTTTCCCAAATTATCGCCTCCAAAACACTATCTCCCGCTAACTGTTTTTTGTTGATCCACACCAACAACAACTTCTCAACATCTTTGATTATTGGTGATCTTTGTTTGGTTAGCACGTTTATACCTTTCACAACATTACCTTCCTTGATTTCTACTTTCTTTTCCAGGATGGAAGTGACTGTTGATTTGTTTTCGCGTACATCCCGGCAAGTTTGAGCACTCGAACACCACTCTCATACTCTGCTACAATTTCTTAAATTCCATCATGTTTCTCACATTCTTTACCAAAGGAACTTTCTTTGGGCCCATGGTTGCTTATTTCACAGTCGCACTCAATCAATAACCACAAAAAACAGTGGCTTATAGCGAAATGTTTGGATGAATGAGCAGAAGTTTCCTAGAGACACGACCAGACTGACTCATGAACGTGGCAGAGCGGCGGGTGGACACGTCTAATACAGACAATCTCCGAAATGATGGCCAAAAAAGGGATAGAATTTTGACCAAAAAAGCGGCTGAAATCCGAATTGGCTAATAACCAGAACGGCCAATAACCGAGGGTCCACTGTATGTATGTGTGTGTGTGTGTGTGTGTTATATATATATATATATATATATATATATATTATATATTACAGTGGGCCCCCGCTTAACGATCACCTCCAAATGCGACCAATTATGTAAGTGTATTTATGTAAGTGCGTTTGTACGTGTATGTTTGGGGGTCTGAAATGGACTATCTACTTTACAATATTCCTTATGGGAAAAAATTCGTTCAGTCTGGGACCTGAACATACTTCTGGAGTGAAAAAATTCGTTAACCGGGGGTTTCCCCTGTATATATATATATATATAATATATATATAAAATATATTATACAGTGGGGCCCCCCCATAGCGAACTTAATCCTGCAAGAGGGCTGGTCGTTATGCGAAATGTCGCTATGCGAATTAATTTTCCCCATAAGAAATAATGGAAAAAAAAATTAATCCGTGCAAAGACACCCAAAAGTATGAAAAAAAAAATTTTTACCACAAAAAAATGTTAATTTTAGTACACACAAACTGAAAAAAAGGCATGCACAATTACATGGGCACTTTCTTTTATTGAAGATCTTGGTGATGTTTGAGGGGAGGGGAGGGGGGGAGAGCATTACTTCTTATGTTTTAGAGGGGAACCCCCTCCATTAGACTTAGGGCAAGTCCTTTTCTGGGTTATTCCTTCTTTTTTTAATGCCACAGGACCACTTGAGAGTCCAGGGACCTCTGTCCAAACAAATTGTCCATAGAGTCTGTACCTCCGTTCTTCAAGATTTCCTAAAAGGGCCCAAACTTGCTTTGAAATGTCCCCAAACGGTTTGCAACAGCTGGCCCCGGGTGTTTTCTCCATAAAGTTTGCAGTTCAACCCCGTGCACACATTCCTTAATTTTTGAAGTAGGCACAATGGTTTCCCCAAAACTGGCATAGGCTTTCGGGGTTTCCCCCCAAACCCCTTAAAAATCTTTCTTAATTTCCAACAAAATTCTCACCCTTTTTACCACGGGGGTTGGCACTAGAAGCTTTTTTGGGGGCCCCCAATGGTCACTTATTTTCCAGAAACACACCGAAAACCTGTAATAATACAAAATTCCCGAGTGTTGTTAAATGTTCCGCGGGGGCTAGCTGGTAAAAAAGGGGAGGGGGCAATGGGGGGTGGCTGGGGCCCAATTGGACCTTTGGGACAATTTTTCGCTGAGGGGTTTTTGTCTATTGGGGGCAAAATTTCAGCGAACAAGCGTTCGCATGCGGATTGTTCGCTATGAAAGGGCGTTCGCAGGGCGGGGTCCCTGTATATAATATAATTTAATATAAATGTCGGGCCGAATATGAAAAAACGGGAAATTAAAGAACTCTTTAAAATTACGCCTTTCTAAATTTTCTTTTATAGTTTAAAGATATATATTTTTCATTTATGTAAAAGAAAAAAATTTTTAATTTTGCACCAAAAAATCTTAGAAAAACTTACCTAACCTATTATAACAAGAGCAATTTTTTTTAGAACCCCAAAAAATTTATTTTGTTTGTTTACAAAATTTAATACCAAACAAACAAGAAAAATATATTTTTTTTCGTTGGGTTCAGAAGTTTTTGGAAAATTTTATTGATACAAAAATTTTTTTGCTTGTCTTATAGGGCAAGAAATTTGTGTTTTAACCCGAGATCGCAAGTTCTCCCCTTTTTGGCCGAATAAATAAATATTATATATATATACATATATAATAATAAATAAATATAATATATATAAAATATATATATACTAATATTTTATAAATTTATATTTATTATATAACATACAGTGGTCCCCCCCCCTTTTCATAGTTCCCGGCAATCGCAAATTTCCCCAATCATGGGGGGTTTTTTCGTAAAACATGGACTGCTTTTATGGGTTTGACTCGCGGTCAAGTTCGTCCGGGCCGGTACCCACGGCGTGACCCGGGGGCGGCGCCAGTCTGTTTTGTTTACCTAGAAAAGGGTCCCCCTCACGGCCCAGCGAAATATTTATAATATTCCTTTATTTTAGTGTTGAAAGTACTAAATAAGCTACCTGGTCCAAAAAAAGCTCCTAGTGCCAACCTTGGTAAAAAAGGTAGAAATACGATTAAAATTTTAAAAAAACCTCTTTAAAAAAATTTATAAAGGGTAAAATGTGGCCGAACTGCCCGGGATTTTAAAAAAACCCTACACAACCAATTTCCAAGGGCCCAAAGAAAAAGGAAATAAAGGACGCTGTTGTTGAAAAGGGGGGTA